AAATTACATGATTTTTGTTGAAAGAATGTTGTGAGATAATTTTCAACTGACTGTCCAGAGTCACATGATTTTGTCATTTGCTTTATTTTTCTGTACAGACAGAAATCGCCAAATCAGTAGAATGCGGTTGGTGCTTCAGGGTTTCCCATTTCAACTGAAAGCCCTGTTTTGTAACATGAGGCCCAGCGTTTTCTTAGTGGATGATGACACCTTTACGATTTGACAAAATCGGCCTTTTATCTTAAATAGCTGTATTGAGATTGGTGAGTTGGTTGCAAAACTTCTTTGAATATATTGTTTCGCCGGCTAGAAGAAACTCACAGTGAATTATTCCTCTGTAATCTCACAAAACGGACAGCAGCACTTTTATTGGATGTCAGCCAGCTTTAGCCATGTGTTCTGCACAATATTTATTGCGCAAAATACACAATTGTGGCAAAGGCCATGGGTTCTGTACGTTCACAAACTTGTTTCCAGCTCTGTTAACGACGGATATTATCATAAACGATCAATTTCCCATCGCTTGCGACAATTATTTCCATGGACGGTTCCTTTTCGTTGCGTCACGACAAAGAAATCGACGGAAAAGCACGGATGATCATGTTCTATTCCGTCTAAGAATGTGGCTGCTATATACCTTACGTATGAACACTAATGGGTATGTGCCAATCCTCATAAATTTGTTGGATACTATTGTAAATGAGGTTAATAATCTGTCTATATAATAATCTGTCCATTAGCAGTGGTTTACCTACTACACTCCGCTGGCGAGTATTGTATTTTGTTGATGTTATAAATATTAGCCTCTCATTTCCAACCTCCGTTTTGGTTATTCCTCATTCAGTAATCCTTTCTAGGTTACAACACTATGAAAATGCATTGGAAAGGGATTTTACTATGAAAATGCATTGGAAAGGGATTTTACTATGAAAATGTATTGGAAAGGGATTTTATTATGAAAGTGCATTGGCAAATGATTTTAATATGAAAATGCATGGGGAAGGGATTTTACTATACTAATATGCTGTCTATGTAGTCCACCACTAACAGTGGTTTACTTAATTCAAGCCTGCTGCCGAGTATTTTATTTTGTTGATGTTATAAATATTAGCATTTATTTCCAACCTCCGTTTTGGTAATTCCTCATTCAGTAACCTTTTCTAGGTTACAATAGTGGTACACAAGTGTCGATTTCGAAAACGAATCCAAATCTCCTCAAATGGCGAAAGTTGAGGTATCGATTTTCAAACTCTTAGCAAACTCCTCAGTCAAAATATTCAGTTTATTTTCCACTATGGCAAGCAGATCGCCTTCCTCGACATCGGAAGGTCGCCCGGGGCGTGGTTGATCGTTTAAGTTAAAAACGCCCCGACGAGATTTGCTAAATCCCATTTTGCCAGGTCAAAGACCTAGGATACAATCAAATAAATATTCTGAATGCTTTTTGTGGCAGTTCCGTCGCTTACTTCTTTCCAAAATTCATAGAGCTTAAGACGGAGAATGTGAAACTTTTCATCTTCCATCTTCAGGGTATTCATTCGTGGACAAAAGGGTAACATTCAACAAAATCTGGCTTGGAACTGAACGATGAAACAGTTCGTTCTAGAACACACCAGAAATCGGTACCAAAAGAAACGCCAGTGTCGAGTTGAGGTCATTTTATGTTAACAATGAAAATCGGTCACGTATTTTTGCAATTATCTGATAGTTAACCGCAGGTGTTTTTGATATACCTGATTGGTTTGCTCTGGTTTGTTTTACGGCATATCAACCTCAATAGGTTATTTAATGCCGCCAACATTTTTAGGATTATTGCGTATGAATAGAATATGTATTCTTTGTTTGTTTTTTTATTTATTTGTTATGTTTTACGACATATCAACCTCAATGGGTTATTTAATGCCGACAAGATTTTTAGGATTATTGCGTATGAATAGAATATGTATTCTTTGTTTGTTTTTTTTATTTATTTGTTATGTTTTACGGCATATCAACCTCAATGGGTTATTTAATGCCGCCAACATTTTTAGGATTATTGCGTATGAATAGAATATGTATTCTTTGTTTTTTTTTATTATTATTTATTTGTTATGTTTTACGACATATCAACCTCAATGGGTTATTTAATGCCGACAAGATTTTTAGGATTATTGCGTATGAATAGAATATGTATTCTTTGTTTTTTTTTTATTTATTTGTTATGTTTTACAGCATATCAACCTCAATGGGTTATTTAATGCCGCCAACATTTTTAGGATTATTGCGTATGAATAGAATATGTATTCTTTGTTTTTTTTTTTATTTATTTATTTGTTATGTTTTACGACATATCAACCTCAATGGGTTATTTAATGCCGCCAACATTTTTAGGATTATTGCGTATGAATAGAATATGCATTCTTTGTTTTTTTTTTATTTATTTATTTGTTATGTTTTACGACATATCAACCTCAATGGGTTATTTAATGCCGACAAGATTTTTAATGCTGGAAATATTTCCTTTCAAAAATGTAATTGTATTGTTGAATAATTTTCCTCATTGTTGGAAATAATTTTATATATCCAAAATTTATATATATATATATATATATATATATATATATATATATATATATATATATATATATATATATATATATATATTTGCGATAGCTGGGAGCCTAAAAGATGGTAGCACCCTGGGTCAGGATGGACCTAGGAACACCAGCAATTAAGAAGTGCCTTGCTCTTGGATGTACTTTATCATCTTAGCCACGACGCGAAAGTAGTTTATCGTCATACCCAGGACGCTGATGTACCTGATTGTAGTTCATTTTTACACAGACGTACAAATATTCCAATAAAATTTGTGTAATTTTCAGAAAAATTAAACGATTGAAACTGCCTGTATTTGTATATTTTTGGATCTTATTTGTTAATGTGAATATATGGCGTGTATCAGAGATATAATGCTGATAAGTTGATCATTGTTATATGAATCCTTTTTAAATTATATTACTTATATAACTTTCGATACGATTCATCAGATCCATCTTCCACTTGATTACGTTCCACACCAATTCGCGCTGTCAAAATTTAATCTAACCCGATTTAAACGAACTGGAATATGAGCAGAGATTTCCGACTACACGGGTGTTTGGAACAAGAACGGAACTGTCCCTTCCTCGAACCGAGAAAAGAAGATGCAACCCACGCATTGAGATGTTCAGCCTCTGCCTAATCAGGAGGAGAAAAGCCTTTATCGCAAACGCTCCTCAGGTGTGATCGAGTCAGAAAGATGTCACATGTCCCACTGCTTTGACGTCTTTAGGTGTCAATTAAAAGAAAATGGGTTGAGCCCTCGAGAAATCCAGGGAGATAATTTCATCGACGCACGTCGTAGATTATCAATACTGCAAGCGGCAAGGTTTAATTGCTTCAAATTGGCTTCGTTGATTGACGCAGAATATATATACCTACAGACTGACGGAACATGCCAGTTCCGACATGCAAGAATATAAGATTGATTAGTGATGGCGTGACCACGCAGATTTGTTTCAGTAAATTCCTTTTGACACATAGTCTGTTTGAACAGATGCAACAGGTGTAGAAGAAAAGGCATCTAGAATTCATTTGTATGTAGTGGTCTTTTGTGTGGCCAACCTGGGAGAAGACAGATAACCTTATAGTGATTTACCAAGCGTAGCTCAGATGTGGCACGAGGCCGAAATTATGGGGCACCCAGTGAGGATCGAACTCACTACTCAATCATAATTGCTAATCATTACACCACCTCGAGGTGCCCCAGATAGCCTTATAAGTTCTTGACTCGATAGCAACCGGTGAGCCTGGACGAACTAATGTACCCTGAAAAGTATCCAGGTGCACCCCAAATTAACAGGAGAGTAATTATGACATATTAAAAAAAAAAACTTTTCTTTTAAAAAGCTAGCGACACCAAACATATGCCTACCATGTTTAAGTCATGTCTTTGGGATTTAATGTTTTAAACTGGATACAAATTCCATGATCTTTAAGAAGGAATGGATAATCCTTTCCCTTTTGCCTTCCTCAAAGGATTTAAATATTCACTATCGGCCTTTTGAAAAATATATGGCAGATTCTTCATAAATGAAAACTGTTCTTTGGGAAAACTTACGAGATCGTGTTTATCACAGATAAAGGGGAACATTAAAAAGTTACCAAAGCCCATCAAGTACAGATTTCACACAAGCATACTTAAATATACAATGTAATGTCTTTAAAATAAAATCTTATTTCAGGAGACTTATTTACATTATTTACATTATTCGGACTGTTATCCTCATCTTCATTGCCATACTCACAACGCTCTGGCCGTTGTACGCCTCGGCCTTCTTCAAGTGAATGGAATTTCAAACCGAACCATGTATTTCCTCCACCGTGATACATTGTTCTAGTTCCACGTGCCAAGCCACTTCTAGATGTCTCAGTTATTTCCCTTTAACTAAATCTTCCAAGTTGTTAGGGTTAACGACTGCTGTAGCCTGGTATTGAACTCACAACTCTTTGAGTCTAGTCACTGGATCTAACCAACTAAGCCATGTGTCCGTGAGGACAATCTACCCCGGTGGACGAAATAAAGTGTTCGATTCGAAAATTCCAAAATCTGAAGAAGGCCGGAGCGTACAACGGCCGAAATGTTGTTAATATGGCAATGAAGATGAGGATAACAGTTCGAATAGTGTAAATAATCATAATACCTCATCTCAGAGATATAGACAGATATTCAGGAGACTTCTTTATTATTTTCCTATGTTCAACTTTCATGGCTAACATATTAGAATTTAAAGTGCGCCTCAGTGTTTTAGTTATTCTATAAGTACGCCTCCTATAAATCAGTTGTATTTGCCGCTTCCTCTAAAATATAATTTGATGAGGGAAATATATGCCTGGATGTGATTCTCTACATCATTCCCCGTGCACAGTGAAGCAATTTGGTTAAAATTCAATTTAATTTAACTTACAATTAAACTAATCGACTATCGTGAATTTGCATAAAAGCTCGAAGGCAGATAGATAGATAGATAGATAGATAGATAGATAGATAGATTGGAACAGACAGATAGAAAGGAACAAACAAAGATAGATTGATCGATGGACAGATAGATAGATATATAGATAGATAGATAGATAGATAGATAGATAGATAGATAGATAGATAGATAGATAGAAAGGAACAAACAAAGATAGATTGATCGATGGACAGATAGATAGATAGATAGATAGATAGATAGATAGATAGATAGATAGATGAAAAAAGAAGGTAAATTGATGGACAGAGAAAAGCAGAGAGAGAGAGAGAAAGAAAGACAGACAAAGAGACATAGAGTTAGAGACAGAGACAGGGACAGACTAAGATAGATAGATAGATAGATAGATAGATAGATAGATAGATAGATAGATAGATAGATAGATGAAAAAAGAAGGTAGAGTGATGGGAGAGAAAAGCAGAGGTAAGTAGGTAGGTAGGTATCAGGTATGATGCTTCTGTTAGATTCTAGATAAAATCCAAAAAAGAATCTGCAATGTTACTGGTCCTGACCTGGCATCTCGGCTTCAATCACGATTTTATCTAGAATCTAGCAGAAGCATCACGCCATATACCTACCTACCTACTTAGCTACCTCCGCTTTTCCCCCTCCATCAATCTACATTCTTTTTTCATCTATCTCTCTCTCTCTCTCTCTCTCTCTCTCTATCCATCTATCTATCTATCTATCTAACTATCTATCTTTGAGATTTTATGCAAATTCACGATAATCGATTAGTTTAATTGTATTTTAAATTAAATTGAATTTTAACAAAATATTAGAAAGAACGTGAATTTGCATGAATTTTGTCAACGTTCGGTGGAAAGAACTGTTGAAAAAATTCATTCCTTTTTTTTCTATTGTCTCACTGACACAATAACTTTTTCAATAAAACTTTTGCAAATGCACTTGAAATGGACCTCCAATCGGTTGTTAACTGGGGCAAGAATTGGCTGGTCAACTTTAACGCCACAAAAACTAAATTACTCTCCATTAACCACCATAGAGATCCTTCCCTGTCCCCCATTAAAATGTCTGATAGTCAACTTCCTGAGAGCAACTCCCTGCGTCTGTTCGGTCTCACGCTGACTGCTGACCTGAGATGGAACAAACACATTGAGTCAATTGCTTCTTCCACCGCGAGGAAAGTTGTCTCTCTGTGCCGCGCCAGGAAATTTTTCTCCCCTGAATCGATACTTCAAATATACAAAACAACCATTCGCCCTTGCATGGAGTATTGCTGCCATATATGGGCTGGAGCACCTTCTGCTTACCTCGGAGTTCTTGACAAGATCCAGAGAAGGATATGTAATCTAATTGGCCCTGATCTAGCGTCTTGTTTGCAGTCACTCTCTCACAGACGCGCCGTCGCCTCTCTCTCTCTTTTTTTTCTACAAATACTTCCATGGTAACTGCTCTGATGAGCTGCTCTCTCTGGTTCCCAGACTCCATGAATTCAAGCGCCCTACGAGGCTGGCATCCCGCTCTCACCCTTACACCGTAGAAACCTTCAAATGTAACCGTCTCTTCTACTCCAATAGCTTCATACCTCGCACCTCTCGCCAGTGGAACACCCTCCCCAATTACTGCTTCCCTGAAAGCTATAATCTCCAACTATTCAAATGTAATGTCAATCGACATCTCCAATTACCTTGATCTACCCACTATCCTTCTCCTCTTCCTTTCTCCTATCACTCTTATCTGCTCTCGCTCCAAATCTTCCGCAACCCCCTGCATCCTAGTGGCTTCACGCCTTGCTTGGGGCACAATGCTTAAAAAAAAAAAAAAACTCTGCATTCATTGCTTTTTTTTTCTCTTACCACTCATGTAACACAAGTACTTCAGTAACGTTCTACTTTGAGTGGCGGTTGGGCCTTGCATTGGGTGAAAAAAAAATCACATCTCCTGCTATGCTCTACGTTTAAAAGAGCCAGATTTGGCCGAAAATGGAGTATTGCTGACATATATGGGCGGGAGGCGCCCAGTCTTCAGTTTCCAATCTCTTTAGAGTCCAAAAGCGTCTCCGCGTCCTTGTAGGTGACAAATTATTTTCCATTCTGCAACCCCTTTTCACAGAGACGAAACGTCGCAAGCCTCTCACTGCCCTATCGCTATTTCAAATGGTAATTGTTCAGATGAACTACACTTCTTAGTTCCACCAGTTCTAACATTTATGGCTAAGCTGTGCCACTTATATTGGAGCGAACAACCCTCCCTCCCTTTGTAATCCATTAGTGCGATGCAATTTCCACTCGAGCAGCTTCTTCCCACGAACAGCTGCCTTGCGGAACCGAATTCCAAGAGGACGCGTCCCTGATCACTACAATCTTAACCTGTTCATATCTAGGGTTAAACGTTATTGTTGCATTCTCTTTCTTGCCGTCACTCGACTGGGGACCGCTAAATGTTTTGAGTCCATAGATGAAAGGATTCCAACACAGATAATTTCAACTTATCTATATTTATTAATGTCGACATGTTCTAACCACCAAGTGGCGGGAGGAGGTTGGGTGAAAGTCACTGGGGAGCCGTTTCAGACACGAAAGAGAACACGTCTACATCGCTTGACTGTCCAGAAGCAACTCGTTGAAAAATCTTTGGCTGTCCTTCCCACGCTAGCTCAGCCAATCAAAATCGACTTCCTTATTATGTGTTGCATCTGACCGCGAAAGTCAACCACCGGATGTCGGAGCTGAGATACACTTCCCCCTAAAAATAATTGTTTAACATTATTTTCCACGCATATCCGCATTGGTTATACCACTTAGTTTGTAACCCTCTACCTCGAGTGACCCCAGAGTGAACACCAATGTAAAAAGAAGAGCATATGGCCGCATTATCTCGTTATTTCTTTTAAATTCGCTCTCCACACTACACAGACCGGCAGGTTGCGCATTTGTGATTGTATGCTTCTTATTTTTCAAACGTTACTAATTATTTTCTTCCGTTTTTATTAAACTTAATTTTAAAAAATTCCTCAAGGAATGTTTATTTGACCCGGCACGCTTATTTCATAAGTTGAGAAATTCCCACTCTCACCAATATCCTAGAAATATTACCGAAGTTAAGCAACGTCAAACCTGGTCAGTACCTAGATATGTAACCACTTGGGAATACGAGGTGCTTTAATCTTGGATGTGTGGATGGTGTAATGGATAATAGTTCGGAATTGTTAATCGGAGAGCAGAGTTCCATTTGACCTGGGTTCGTTATATTCACTTACGCGCAAATACCCTTGCAAAAGATATGAATTCACCTCTTCTGCCTCCCCCCCGTTATGGTTTAATTAGTAGGATTTGGTTCACTAAAACCATTATTATCTAAAAATAAATCTTACAATCTAAAAATATTATATGGCTTTAAATAACCTTCAAAGTGGTGATAAACCGTAGAAAACCAATCAATCAATATTCGAGAATGCGCTTGTATTTGGCACAAAAGAATCCTTACTATTGTTAGATTAATCTGTTCTAGTAATATTTCATGTTATAACAAGGTAATATCTCATTATTTAGTAGAGGAGATCAGGCTGAATGACCAAATAAAATACAATGTTTTTATCTTAAAGATTGGGTGATGATAGTAACATTCAATAAAGTCTGTGCTATTATTATTGTTGTCTTTTGTTGTTACTCCTATTATTGCGTTGGCTTTATTGTTGTTGCTGTTATTTTGGGGTTCATTGAGGTTCAAATGGTCACAACCGTCTTTATCGTTTGAGATCGGTTATTAGAATCAGGTGGTATTTTTTTTAGTTCAACTCCCTTGTCACCGTGTGATTATTTCTTTTTCTTTCTTCTTCATATCTATTTTCTTTTCTTTTTTTTTCTTCTTCATATCTATTTTTCTTTTCTTTTCTTTTCTTCTTTTATCTATTTTCTTTCTTCTTCATATTTTTTTCTTTTTCTTCTTCTGTTTTTCTTCTTTTTCTTCTTCATATCTATTTTCTTTTTTCTTTCTTCTTTTCTTTTTCTTTTCTTTTTTCTTCTTCATATCTATTTTCTTTTCTTCTTCATATCTATTTTCTTTTTCTTTCTTCTTCATATCTATTTTTTTCTTTTCTTCTTCATTTTTATTTTTTTTTTTCTTCTTCATATCTATTTTTTTTCTTTCTTCTTCATATCTATTTTCTTTTCTTTTCTTCTTCATATCTATTTTCTTTTTTTTTCTTCTTCATATCTTCTTTTCTTTTCTTCTTCATATCTTTTCTTTTTTTTTCTTCTTTTCTATCTTTTTCTTTTTTTCTTCTTCATATCTATTTTCTTTTTCTTTCTTCTTCATATTTTTTTTTTTTTTCTTCTTCATATCTATTTTCTTTTCTTCTTCTTCTTCATATCTATTTTCTTTTTCTTTTCTTCTTCTATTTTCTTTTTTCTTTCTTCTTATGTTCATATCTATTTTCTTTTCTTTTTTCTTCTTCATATCTATTTTCTTTTTTCTTTCTTCTTCATATCTATTTTCTTTTTCTTCTTCTTCATATCTATTTTCTTTTCTTTTTTCTTCTTCTATCTTTTTTTCTTTTTTTCTTTCTTCTTCATATCTATTTTCTTTTCTTTTTCTTCTTCATATCTATTTTCTTTTTTTCTTCTTCTCTTTTTCTTTTTCTTTCTTCTTCATTATCTATTTTCTTTTCTTTTCTTCTTCATATCTATTTTCTTTTCTTTCTTCTTCATATCTATTTTCTTTTCTTTCTTCTTCATATCTATGTTCTTTTCTTTTCTTCTTTTCTTTTTCTTTTCTTCTTCATATCTATTTTCTTTTCTTTCTTTTTCATTTCTATCTATTTTCTTTTCTTTCTTCTTCATATCTTTTTTCTTTTTCTTTTCTTCTTCATATCTATTTTCTTTTCTTTTCTTCTTCATATCTATTTTTTTTCTTTCTTCTTCATTCTTTTCTTTTCTTCTTCTTCATCTATTTTCTTTTCTTTTCTTCTTCATTCTATTTTCTTTTTCTTTTCTTCTTCATATCTTTTTCTTTTCTTTTCTTCTATCTTTTTTTTTTTTTTCTTCTTTCTTTATTTTCTTTTTTTCTTCTTCATATCTATTTTCTTCTTCATTTTCTTTCTTTTCTTTTCTTTTCTTTTTCTTTTTTTCTTATATCTTTTTCTTTTTTTTCTTCTTCATATCTATTTTCTTTTCTTTTTCTTTCTTCTTTTTCTTTCTTTCTTCTCATATCTATTTTCTTTTCTTTCTTCTTCATATCTATTTTCTTTTTTTTCTTCTTCATATCTATTTTCTTTTCTTTTCTTCTTCATATCTATTTTCTTTTCTTTTCTTCTTCATATCTATTTTCTTTTCTTTTCTTCTTCATATCTATTTTCTTTTCTTTTTCTTCATATCTATTTTCTTTTTTTTCTTCTTCATATCTATTTTCTTTTTTTTTTTCTTCTTCATATCTATTTTCTTTTTCTTTATCTTCTTCTTTTCTTCTTCATATTTTCTTTTTTTCTTCTTCATATCTATTTTCTTTTTCTTTTCTTCTTCATATCTATTTTCTTTTTCTTTCTTCTTCATATCTATTTTTTTTTTTTTTTCTTCTTCATATCTATTTTCTTTTCTTTTCTTCTTCATATCTATTTTTTTTTCTTTTCTTCTTCATATCTATTTTCTTTTTCTTTCTTCTTCATATCTATGTTCTTTTCTTTTCTTCTTCATATCTATTTTCTTTTTCTTTCTTCTTCATATCTATTTTCTTTTTCTTTCTTCTTCATATCTATTTTCTTTTCTTCTTCATATCTATTTTCTTTTTCTTTCTTCTTCATATCTATTTTCTTTTTCTTTCTTCTTCATATCTATTTTCTTTTCTTTTCTTCTTCATATCTATTTTCTTTTTCTTTCTTCTTCATATCTATTTTCTTTTTCTTTCTTCTTCATATCTATTTTCTTTTTCTTTCTTCTTCATATCTATGTTCTTTTCTTTTCTTCTTCATATCTATTTTCTTTTTTCTTTTTCTTTTTTTCTTTTTCTTTCTTCTTCATATCTATTTTCTTTTCTTTTCTTTTCTTTTTTTTTTTTTCTTTCATCTTCATCTATTTTTTCTTTTTCTTTTCTTCTTCATATCTATTTTCTTTTCTTTTCTTCTTCATATCTATTTTCTTTTCTTTCTTCTTCATTCTATTTCTTTTCTTTTCTTCTTCATATTTTTTCTTTTCTTTCTTCTTCATATCTATTTTTTTTTTTTTTCTTCTTCTATTTTCTTTTTCTTTTCTTCTTCATATCTATTTTCTTTTTCTTTCTTCTTCATTTTCTTTTTTTTCTTTCTTCTTCTTATCTATTTTCTTTTTTCTTTCTTCTTCATATCTATTTTCTTTTTCTTCTTCCTTTTCTTTTCTTTTTCTTTCTTCTTCATCTATTTTCTTTTCTTTTCTTCTTCATTCTATTTTCTTTTTCTTTCTTCTTCATATCTATTTTCTTTTTCTTTCTTCTTCATATCTTTTTTTTTTCTTTTTCTTCTTCATATCTATTTTTTTCTTTTCTTCTTCATATCTATTTTTCTTTTCTTTTCTTCTTCATATCTATTTTTCTTTTCTTTTCTTCTTCATATCTATTTTCTTTTTTTTTCTTCTTCATATCTATTTTCTTTTCTTTTTCTTCTTCATATCTATTTTCTTTTTTTTCTTCTTCTATCTATTTTTCTTTTCTTTTTTCTATTTTCTTTTTTTTTTCTTCATATCTATTTTTCTTTCTTCTTCATATCTATTTTTTCTTTCTTTTTCTTCTTCATATTTTTTTTTTTCTTTCTTCTTCATATCTATTTTCTTTTCTTTCTTCTTCTTATCTATTTTCTTTTTTTCTTCTTCATATCTTTTTCTTTTCTTTCTTCTTCATATCTATTTTCTTTTCTTTTCTTCTTCATATCTATTTTCTTTTCTTTTTCTTCATATCTATTTTCTTTTTTTTTCTTCATCTTCTTTCTTCTTCATATCTATTTTCTTTTCTTTTCTTCTTCATATCTATTTTCTTTTTCTTTCTTCTTCATATCTATTTCTTTCTTTTTCTTTTCTTTTCTTCATATCTATTTTCTTTTTCTTTCTTCTTTCATATCTATTTTCTTTTCTTTCTTCTTCATATCTATTTTCTTTTCTTTCTTCTTCATATCTATTTTCTTTTTCTTTCTTCTTCATATCTATTTTCTTTTCTTTTTCTTCTATTTTCTTTTCTTTCTTCATATCTATTTTCTTTTCTTTTCTTCTTCATATCTATTTTCTTTTCTTTCTTTTCTTCTTTTTTTTTTCGTTTTCTTCTCTATTTCTTTTCTTTTCTTCTTCATATCTATTTTCTTTTTCTTTCTATTTTCTTTTTTCTTTCTTCTTCATCTTTCTTTTCTTTCTTCTTCATATCTATTTTCTTTTCTTTTTCTTCTTCATATCTATTTTCTTTTTCTTTCTTCTTCATATCTATTTTCTTTTCTTCTTCATATCTATTTTCTTTTTCTTTCTTCTTCATATCTATTTTCTTTTCTTTTCTTCTTCATATCTATTTTCTTTTTCTTTCTTCTTCATATCTATTTTCTTTTTCTTTCTTCTTCATATCTATTTTCTTTTCTTTTCTTCTTCATATCTATTTTCTTTTTCTTTCTTCTTCATATCTATTTTCTTTTCTTTTCTTCTTCATATCTATTTTCTTTTTCTTTCTTCTTCATATCTATTTTCTTTTTCTTTCTTCTTCATATCTATTTTCTTTTCTTCTTCATATCTATTTTCTTTTTTTTTTTCTTCTTCATATCTATTTTTTTTTTTTACTTCCATATCTTTTTTTTTCTTCTTCATATCTATTTTTTTTTCTTTTCTTCTTCATATCTATTTTCTTTTCTTTCTTCTTCATATCTTCTTCATTTCTTTTTTTCTTCATTTCTAATTTTCTTTTCTTCTCCTATCTTTTTCTTTTCTTTCTTCTTCATATCTATTTTTCTTTTTCTTTCTTCTTCATATCTATTTTCTTTTCTTTCTTCTTCATATCTATTTTTTCTTTTCTTTTCCTTTTTTCTTTTTTCTTCTTCATATCTATTTTCTTTTTTTTTCTTCATATCTATTTTCTTTTCTTTTTCTTCTTCATATCTATTTTTTCTTTTTTTTCTTCATATTTTTTCTTTTTTTTTCTTCTTCATATCTATTTTCTTTTCTTTTCTTCTTCATATCTATTTTTTTTTTCTTCTTCATTTATTTTCTTTTCTTTCTTCTTCATATCTATGTTATCTTCATATCTATTTTCTTTTTCTTTTTCTTCCTTATCTTTTCTTTTCTTCTTCATATCTATTTTCTTTTTCTTTCTTCTTCATATCTATGTTCTTTTCTTTTCTTCTTCATATCTATTTTCTTTTTCTTTCTTCTTCATATCTATTTTCTTTTTTTCTTCTTCATATCTATTCTTCTTCATATCTATTTTCTTTTCTTTTTCTTCTTCATATCTATTTTCTTTTCTTTTTTCTTCTTCATATCTATTTTCTTTTTTTTCTTCTTCATATCTATTTTTTTTTTTTTTCTTCTTCTTCATATCTATTTTCTTTTTTCTTTTCTTCTTCATATCTATTTTCTTTTTTTTTCTTCTTCATATCTATTTTTTTTCTTTTCTTCTTCATATCTATTTTTCTTTTTTTCTTTCTTCTTCATATCTATTTTCTTCTTCATATCTATTTTTTTTTTCTTTCTTCTTCATATCTATTTTCTGTTCTTTTCTTCTTCATATCTATTTTTCTTTTCCTTTCTGTCTCTTTCTTTTATCAGCTTCTTTAGTGTTTCTATATTTTTCATTATTTTTACTGTTTTATCTTTCTTTCTGCAGCTTTCTTTATGTTTTTCTTTCTCGTTCTTTTTTTTATTTACTTTTCTTTCTCTCTGTCTTTCATTCTTTCTTTTTCTCTTCATGTTCCTTTTCTTTCTTTATCGTTCTTTTAACAGCTTCCTTATTCTTTCTTTCTTTTTTTCACTCCTTGTTCAGCTTCCTTTTTCTTCCTTTATCTTTTTCCTTTTTTTTGTTTACCTTTCTTTTTCCTTTCTTTGTCTTTCTTTTAGCAGCTTTCTTAGTCTTTATTTACTTATCTTTATCTTTCTTTCTTTTTTCTTCAGATTCATTTTCATTTATTTATTTTTCTTTCTTTATTCAAACTCTGTATTTATTTTTCTTTATCTTTTTTCTTTCTTTCATTCTTTATTTCTTTCTTCAGCTTACCTCTTCTTCCTTTTTTTCTATAATTTTGTTTCTGTCTTTCTTTCATTCATTCTTTATTTCTTTCTTCAGCTTTCATCTTCTTTTTTTTCTATAATTTTGTTTCTTTTTTTCTTTCTTTCATTCTTTATTTCTTTCTTCAGCTTTCATCTTCTTCCATTTTTTCTATACTTTTGTTTCTTTTTTTCTTTCATTCTTTATTTCTTTTTTCAACTTTCGTCTTCTCCTTCATTTTTTTCTTTATCTTTCTTCCTGCTTCATTTTTTTCTTCTTACTTTCTTACTTTCATTGTCCTTCTTTTTCTTTCATTGGAAATAGATACAATAAATTTTATCAATTTTCATTTATTTATTTTTTTATTTTGCTTTCCTTTTATTTTTTATTATTTTGTTCTGGTTTCTTCAGTTTGTTTTCCTTCCATTTTCTTTCTTTGATTTTGTATAAATTTGCTGATATTTATAATTATTTTTTTAAATATATTTCGTAGTCAATTTTTTGGAACGAACGTTTTGTATAACTTGAGTCCTTATTATTTTTTATTTCTGAAAAATTCTTTTCAATAATTCAAGATGAAAAAAAAAAATTAGGAATAATAATAATAATAACAATAACAAAATGATTGCAAGAACTATATCAGCAAAATAAGTCTCCTCCTAAAACAAAACTGTTTCAGAAAAAGATCTTGCAGTTCTTTCGAAAGTAGAGCAACTCAATCGATCATTTTTTCTGAAAATGCACATCCAGTGGCTAAAGAGTTCTGATTTCTCTCTTAGTTATCGGCTGCTTTCAGTAAAGTTCCCGCGTTTCAAATGACTGCACCAAGTGTTGGAGATAATATCTTGTAATTATGGGATTTTCTACGTTTCCTTTTCTTGATATTTTTAATAATCTCTTTTTATGTCCTTCTTTTTTTCATTTGGTGATTATTTTTTGTGATGGTGTTATTTCTCTGTCCTTTTCTTCCAGTTCAGTTCTGTGTCAAGACTGTCATGTCCAACGTAATAAAATCGCCTTCATTAGTTTTTGATATAGTGTACAATGACCATTGACTGGATAAAGCTTAATTTTAATCTCTCGAAGAGTAAAATCCAGCTGTTGTTAATGTTCAGTGGAATCAAAGCGAATATTCGGGATAATTCTGTTTAATTGTCCCTTGTACTGTCACATTGGGTCTGCTTTGGAAGAAATGATGGCACGGGGTGAACACGAGAACAATCTGTAATTATTGGACATGACACAGGGCTGCACTTTCAAAGTGACTGCGCAAAGTTATATGTCTTTATCAAAATAGGTTTAAGTTCGAGCACTACTCTTCCTCTCTCTGATCATTTCCAATGAGAATGAATGCAAGTTAATTGAAACAAAACGTATAATTCCGTTATTATTTACCTTTTTTCGTATTTTTTCCAATTACACATAACCCAGTGCGCATGTCAGTACTTCGTATGACCATTCCACGAAATATTTGCTTGCAGATTCTCGATTGGATTTAAATCAGGATAGTTTCCGAGTCAGTCGATAGTACTTTGATTTGCTCATTGTAAGGCTTGCCATTACGTTCATGCAGCGTGACAATGGCCGTAGGACAACTAATCGACAGTCGAGACAATAACGTCTGGGCGTAATGAAAATCTCATGCAATCACGGATGACGCAATATTTTTTCAAGGCGAAACAAATTTCATCATACACCCCGAAAATAGATTCATATTACTTCACACCACTGCAAATGACATAATCTGAGAAAAGATGCAAATCGATTACACCCTGTCACTTTAAACTGAGCGTATGGTGAAATAAAGTGTTATAATGGAACACACCTATTCTATAGTTATTAGACTCTCCCACCTATAATAAGTAGGAGTAGTAATAGTAACAAGTCAGTCGGCAGTGAGTGGGTCAGTCAGTCGATGTCGGACGACCATTAGTCAGATATTAAAGTATTAGCCACCCCAACTAGATTACTGCGCCATTACCTATTATATCAAGTTCCTAACGTTTTGTACGTCGAACCTATTTTAGGACCGACTTAGTACAAATACAAGCCTCCACTGTGAAACCACTACATAACAGAAAGGAAACTAAAGCTAAAGTTTCAATTAATTTGCACAAGGTTGTAAGTCTATTTCAATATATAAACTGACTGATCGATTGATAGCTATAATCCTGACCCAATTTACGTGTATCACAACTGAAATAAGAACAAGAGATGAGAAGGAGAATGGGAACAATCTACCCTGTCGATTAAACAAAGGGTTCCAGTTCGTAATTCCCTCTAGTTTACACGGATCGACATGCACCTGACGAAGGCCGTGATAACAACAACAAAAATAGGGACAATCGTTCGCCTGTAAATAATGTAAATAATAACTCCTCATCCTACAAATTCAGTTTTGTTCTTATTTTTAGTCCTCAGATCGATATATACCTGATGAAGTCCATAAGGCACAATGGCTGAAACGTTGGAATAACAACAAAATAAGAACAATAGTCCGCATGTAAATAATATAAATACCTCATCATCTCAGAAATTCATTTTTTTATTTTTAGTATTCAGATCAATATATACCTGATGAAGGCCGAGAGGAACAACGGCCGAAACGTTGTAATAACAACAACGATAGGGACAATAGTTACTATTGTCCCTATCGTTGTTGTTATTACAACGTTTCGGCCGTTGTTCCTCTCGGCCTTCAAATAATGAAGGCAAATGTAAATAATAACTCTTCATCATAGAAATTCAGTTTAGTTCTTATTTTTAGTAATCAGATCGATATACACCTGATTAAGTCCATAGGGCACTATGGCCGAAACGTTGGGATAATAACAACGAAATAAAGACAATAATCCGCATGTAAATAATAACTCTTCATCCCAGAAATTCAGTTTAGTTTTTATTTTTAGTAATTAGATGAAGAAAGAATTTGTCTTTGAATTTGACTCTCCACAATTTCCTGTCCTTTCTAGTTCTTAATTTTGTCTTTTTGTTATTTCTCCTAAACCTGATTCCGCCATCCAATTAATGAGGCTCACTAAATCAGTTATGCTTTGATTTGTTCTGCCCCCCCCCCCAGCTTGCCATCAATCTATCGCGTGAATATCCGATTTCCCAAGTACTATTCTCTCGTTATGGTCCTTCGAAAAAAAAAAAAAGACTGTCTCTAGTAGAAAGAACTTTGTGTTTCGTTCAAAGATTTTTTTTTCATTTACCTTTTGTGGAAATAAATATGTCTACCGTTATGACTCTTCATAAGAATATCTTTGAATTTTGAACTTTACGTTTTTATTGGCATAGATCTTCTGTGTATGCGAGTGCATTTGGACATACCTAACCCGATAGAGTATGCGTGCATTGTTAAAATTGCAAATGTAGATACAGTAGTATTTCCACCACACACACTATTATATACATACACATATGCACACATATAGACATGAGCTCATACCAACACGCTCATAACACTTGCTTACTTATTTACAAAGATTAGCTTAATGTTGGCGCAAGGTCACAGATAAAGAGCACCTATTGAGACTTGTGGCTGTGCTTATTTTATGCGCCGTCTCCTTTCAAGGCGTAAGCGATCAGATCTCTCCACAATTTCCTGTCCTTTGTAGCTCTTAAATAAATTTTGTCTTTTTGTCATCCCTGTACCGCCATCCATTCGCTCTACCTCGCCAGGTAGGTTGTGCGTTTCTTTCCTCTGGTCCTCTTACCTTCAGTCTGTTTTGTGAGTATCAAATTTGCCAGGTCCTCTTTCCTCATTATGTTTCCCAGAAATGTCAAATGTCTTTTCTAAATGTTAAGCATAAGTGTCCTCTGTGTTGTCATTGTCTCTGTAGCTTCGTCGTTGCTCCCATGTTTGGTCCATGGTATTCTCAGCATCCTTCTGTAGAACTAAATTTCTTTTGCTTCGAGTCTCGGAAAACTAAATCAGATTATCGAGTTCAAATCCAAGCCTCTTTCGCTGCATTCACTTTCACACTACAACTCTTGCCAAAATCGCGGAAACCATTTCTTTCGATTCGTGGTTAAATAGCAAGGTAAACGAGGTTCTCTAACCTTGGTTGGCAGCTAATCTAGGAGAAGAACTGCCCTAAAATCTAGACCGTGAATAGGGCAAGCAGAAACCCTTATCAGGTGGCCGTAGAGACTCTTCATATGCTGGAAAACAGGCCAGCTTAATTGCCATTAAAATTAAGATAGGCGAGGATATCAGATTAAATGTTGATATCTACGATTCTACGAACTAGCCTTATTTTTTTCCTTGCATTATCTCCCAAAATTCCAATCAACCTGCAGGAGTCAATGCCGACGCTCTGTTTTTCAAAGCATGAAGAAAATGCGCGATGTCTTTAGTTAATCAGTTATTTAGTATTATCTCGGGAAACGAAAGCAAAAATATATTTCTACTTCAGTTGGATTTAATGTTATAAACATGAAAGAAAGCAATCAGATAAAAAAACAATTATAGACTTTCCCCTCCTCCAAGAAGAGCAACAAAGGATGTAAGACACAAGGTCACTGAGAGTGGAAGAGATTAAGAAAACATTAAATTCAAGAAGACAGAAGATAATAATTGAAGTTGCATTTAAATCTTTGATCATAGTTGCCAGGAAAGCAAAAAACCGGAAGCGAGAGAAGAAAACATCAGCATAGGACTTACGCTTAAACTTAATAATTACAATAGCAAAAATGACGAGACCTATCTGCCAATCTACTACTGTGTTTAAATTCATCAATTCGTCGTACCAAACAGAAAAAATCATTAGAAAAAGTACCATGAAACCATCTATGGAAAATGCACAGGGAAGCTACGACACGGCTGCGGGAAAGTGATTGAGGCTGAAATGCCGGATCAGGACCGATAACACTGCAGATTCTTTTTTTGTGGGGTGGCGGGTATTTTGTTAAGGATCACTAGATAGATAGAAGAAACATCAGATGTGGTACTAATATTCGATGCGCAAACGAATGGTAGACTTCTATAGGTGCAAGAGAGATTCTATCGCGAAAGATTGTCTAAGACGACGCAGTGATCCGACTTCCCTGACAGCAAGTTTATCAACTGATTCAATATAATGTCAGTGGATAGCAAATGATTTACACTGACGGCAAATCTCGCAAGCAGTCGGCATTTGACTCCGTGTACTTTTGCTGGTTATTTGCGTTATTCGAATAACACTGAACGATATATTTGCGTTCAGATCTTTAAGAGACAGGCAATATTAAACACTGTTTGATTTCTCAGAGTGCCAGTAAAGGAAATTAGGTTTTTTTTTTTCTTCTTTCTAAATATATTCTCTCTTTACAGAAGCCTTTTATTGCATCTCTAATGTTGTAGCAAAAAAATAAAAATAAAAAAAACGGCGGAATTTCTGTGTCCTGAGTTTTGTAATCATCTTATTATTTCGACTTAAGTGTTATTAACAAACAAGAAAGAAGCGAAAGCAAATTTTTCATTTGTCTTCGCTTTTTCCTTCAGGATTCTTTATCAATCATATAATATTCATAGGAAACGCTTGCCAGGGTACAAATAGAAAGCAATATAAATCCGATATTAGAAAATCAGATTCCATCAGGAAGCACACACGCACACATGCGCGCACTCTCTTTATATCCCCGTCTTTCTCCAGTTCTTCCTGGGTATGACGATAAACTACATCCGGCAGCAAGGCCTCTGATCCGGAGGTTTCGAGGAGCGCAGAATCACCTCTTAATTCTTGGTGTTTCCTGGTCTACCCTGACACAGTTGGAGCACCAGTTAGAATTTCAGCTACGGGCAAATAGCGACCCCACCCCCAAAACTGGGGTCAAAACATGAAAATATCAAAATACACTAGAAGCAATTAACAGCAACACATTTTCATAGTAAAAAAATTAAAAGTACCATCAATACATTATTGAAAAAAACACCAAAAATGACAAGAAAATAACATTTTGCCATTAAATGACCCATGAGGTGTTGATATGCCGTTATAAAAACAAATTAAATCAAAACTCCCATGAAAATGAAATTTCGGCATTAAATGACCCATAAGGAGTTGATATGCCGTTAAACAAAAAATCAAATCAAAGCACCTAAAAACAAAAAAAGAAATTTCGGCATTAAATGACCCATAAGGTGTTGATATGCCCTTAAACAAACAAATCAAATCAAAGCTCACAAGAAAATTAAATATCGGCATTAAATGACCCATAAGATGTTGATATACCGTTAAACAATCAAATCAAAGCAAAGCAAACAAGAATATTAAATTTCGTCATTCAATGACCCATAAGGTGTTGATATGCCGTTAAACAAAGAAATCAAATCAAAGCTCCCCAGAAAATGAAATTTCGTCATTCAATAACCCATAAGGTGTTGATATGCCGTTAAACAAAAAAATCAAATCAAAGCTCCCCAGAAAATGAAATTTCGGCATTCAATGACCCATAAGGTGTTGATATGTCGTAAAAACAAATAAATCAAATCAAAGGTCCCAAGAAAATTAAATATCGGCATTAAATGACCCATAAGATGTTGATATGCCGTTAAACAAACACACCAAATCTTTCTCTCGTACAGTATTTCTCAACCGGTGTGTCCTATGGAACCCTAGAGTTCCGCAAGTGATCGCTCGGGATGCCGCGAGAAAAGGTGATAAATATGCTAATTCATTTTTGAGTAGAAATGAACCCAGTCATGGCTATCAGACAATTTCTGCGACTACATCACCCCTTATATATGACAAACTAACTCCCCAGACTGCAACCCCCTTGATTATTATTTGCGGGTCGCAGTTGAGCAAGAGACCAACAAAACTCTTTGTAACATCAAAGATGAACTGAAGACAAGCATTATGGCAGCATTCACCATCTTAAACAAGGAGAGATCCTCTAGAAGAGTTGCGAGAGAATCGGAAGTTGTCAGGCGGATTGATGCACTTTTTCTTCCAGACGGTGCACAACTGACCTTACTATACTGTGCAGTCGACAAAATCAAAATCAATCAATGCGCATGCGCGAAATTAAACATATAAAATGGCGACAATTTTCCCATCGCACCCTTTATGTTACACGTATGTGATATTGGTTATTTATGGGTGCTTTTTTGTGTTTATAGATTTTGTTTGAATGAAAACCTTGGTGTGAGGCCTCATAAACGAGCAATATAACTTTTTTTTGCATTGGCAATAAATTTGTCAAAGACAATGAGGGTCATTTTTTCCTTAATTCATCTGGAAAATATATATTATGTTTACCCCGTGAACTTCAATAAAATATAAAAGATGTAGATATTAATATTGACATTATCATCACCATCATCATCATCCACTTGATTTTTGTAATCGTAGTGGCGGGGGGATCCGAATTCAGAAGCCATATTGAATCTCTTCCACAACCGTCTATCAACAGCAGCCATCAGCATTTCTGGTATATTCATCCGTGTGCATTGTTTGACTTAGTCTAACCAGCTTTTGCGTTGGCATCCTCTCCACTGTCCACTTTCAACAGTGATTTGCATAGTCTTGCACAGGCCGCCATGTCTTGTAATGTCTAAACCATACCATTTTCCTCCGTTTGACAGTAACAAGAGGTTCCTGGTTGCCCACAAAACTTTTAAACCTGTTTGCGTATAAACTCATTGGTTTTATGTTCCTAACAGAAGATACCAAAGAGTTTTCTCGTGCATTTCTTCTCAAACACTTCTCCCTATTTCTGCCAACGAAAAATGATATATAATCATTTTTATTCAGGAGTTCCCTGGGACATGAAAACTGTTTCAAGAGTTCCACAAGGGTAAAAAATATTGAGAAACGTTGATCTAGTATTTCTTCCATATCTGGGCTGGAGCTAAACAGTCTTCACTTTCCAGTTCAAAATTGTCTATGTGGCCTTGTGGGTAATGAATTGTTTTCCACCATAAAATCCTTTATAATAGACGAAGCGTTGCAAGCCTCTAGCTGCACTATCGCTATTTCTATGGTAATTGTTCAGTCGAGCTACAATCCTTCGTTCCACCAACTCTATGCCTCGCAGCTAAGACCCAGCATGTCGCGTTCTCTTCGTATTCCATTAGTAAGGAGTAAGTTCCACTCGTACAGCTACTTTATGGAACCAACTCCCAAGAGAAAACTTTTACTACAATCTTAACCTGTTCAAGTCTAGGGTTAAACCGCTGTATTTCCCACCTATTTTCATAAACTGTGCCTCTTACCTCTTACCACATGTAACAACCTTCTTCAGTCGCAATCTACTTTGAGTGGCTCTTGGGACTTATATAGGGTATTAGTAAGACAAAATCTCTCTCATATTTTCTCTCTTTATCTTTCTCTTATTTACCAGTCTCTTATTACCTACCTTATATTTTCCAGTCTTCCCTCCCACAATTTTTCTCCCTTTCTCTCGTTCTCTCGTTTCTCTCTGGTTCTTTCTTCACCTTTATCTGTTTTTATCATATTTCTTTCACTTCTCCACTCTTGTTCATATTTGCCTGTCTTTGTATCACACTTTCGTTGTTTTTCTTTTCTATTTCATATTTACTTCTACCCTCCCCCCTCTCTCTTTCCCTCTCTCTATATATATATATGTTATAGTGGGACACACCTATTCACACCTACTCCCACCTATAATAAGTAGGAGTAGTAAGAGTAACGAGTATCAGCCACCCCGAACTAGATTACTGCGTCATTACCTATTATATCAAGTTCCTAACGTTTTGTACGCCGAACCTATTTTAGGACCGACTTAGTACAAATACACGCCTCCACTGTGAAATCACTCAACAATATCTCTATCAAACACTATTTAACTCTTATATCTCTCTCCCTATGTATATATATATATATATATATATATATATATATATATATATACAGAGAGAGATAGATAGATAGATAGATAGATAGATAGATAGATAGATAGATAGATATGCTTCTCTTTGTCCTATTTCTATCGCATTCTCTCTTTATCATTCTCATATTTATTTCTCACTCATTATCTCACCCATATTTGCCAATCTCTCTCTCTCTCTCTCTCTCTTTGTCTCTCTTTCACTCTCTCTCACTCTCTCACTCACTCTCTCTCTCTCTCTTTTCTCTCTCCCTCACGCGTGCACGCGCTTTTTCTCCATCCTTCTAATTTTACTCATATTTCCCCTTCCCTGGGCAGAGGGAACCGTGATTAGATCCGACATGATTTAACCGACTCGGCTATGAAGAAATTTTGCCGATCAAGCAAGGCTGAATAGTATCTTGAATCGAAATCCTTCTAGAATTTATTTTGTTTACGTTTGGATACGAAACTAAGCAGATATAAAATTTCGAGAGTCTAACACGAGAAGAATATATATATATATATATATATATATATATATATATATATATATATATATATATATATATATATATATAAATGCGTATACTTCGGCAACATATTTTCATTAAGACAGGTTTCGTTAAATAATTTACACATGTTCTACCTACTTATTCTTGATAGGATTCTTTCATATCGCGGATAAGCATTTTTGTGTGGTTAATAAAACACGAGAAGAAACCATTGTGTTGGCTCATATTGTATTTATTTCCGAGTACTTTCGACATAGCATAATGTCTTTGTTAGAGTATTGTTAAATATAGATTAAGTATTTAGCATTCTTGGTTGTAAAGGACAATTGTTGTGGTCATCCGAAAATTAACATTTTTATATGTGGATTCAGGAACGCTGTGCCATGGCTTAGGTGACAGACACCGTTTAAGAAAAGATGCTGTGGAAAGATTACGGACTTGAGTAGTTGTTAGATAAACGAAAAACTATTAATGACAAACGCTAACATCCAAAGACTATCTAGTGTACACATTTTAAAATGTTTGTGGGGTATTCGTAATTAATTTTATTGAGGTTTGGTTTCATTTCTTTTTATATAAATAGCTTCAAAAATTTTTAGTTTGTGTTTATTCTTTTCATTGAAAAGTATGGATATATTTTCGACGGGGATTTTACTGCATTGAGAGTGTGGACACGTATGGCATAACTCCATCCCCCTCCTCAGCAATGGTTAAAATAAAGCCTGGCAGACTGGGTTCTTTAGTTCAGAATAGCAGAAAAGCTAAACGAAGGAATACTTTGAATTCAGAAACAGTAGATAAGGTAAAAAAAAAAAAAAACACGCCACTATATTTTTCGAGAAGTTATTGTAATTCAGAGATAACTATTGAGATCCATGATTACTTACGTCGAAATGCTTTATATATGACTATTTTCTTAGTAGCATTTTACGGTATAGACAGATCTTTCAAACAAATAAACGATTGGGTAGAATAATGGAGCAAAATAAAGGGACTTAATCCGGGCAATGCTAGGATCCATTGTTCTTTTTTTGAAAAATCTCCTCTTTATCTTTTTATGAACCGTTGTACACATTTTTTTTTTTTTTTTTTTTGCAAAAAACAAATCGGAAATACCAACATCAAATAATTTAATCTGTTGTGTGCTTTTCCGTTTTCTCTCACTATCCCTCACGCCCTATCTATCTATCTATCTATCTATCTATCTATCTATCTATCTCAGTCTGTTCACTATCTATCTATCTATCTATCTATGTCAGTCTGTTCGTCTGTTCGCTATCTATCTATCTTATCTAATTATCTATCTATCTATGCTTATATATGAAAATGACTCTCTATCTATCACTGTATTTTCAACTGTCTATCTATCTATCTATCTATCTATCTATCTATCTATCTATCTATCTATCTCAGTCTTACTATCTATCTATCTATCTCAGTCTTACTATATCTATCTATCTATCTCAATGTGTTAATCTATCTCAGTTCAATCTAGCCATCTATCTCAGTTAAATGTTATCTAGCTATCTATTTATATATATCAGTACAATATTATCTACCTATTTATCTATCACAGTTCAATATTATCTATATACCTCAATTCAATAATATCTACCTATCATCTCAGTTCAATATTAATTAAATACCTCAGATCAATAATATCTATCTAGCCCAGTTCAATTTTATTTATATACCTCAGTTCAATAATATCTATCTATCTTAGTTCGATATCTATCTATCCATCTCAGTTCAAGACTATCTGTCTAGCTAGCTAGCTAGCTAACTATCTATCTCAGTTCAATATCATCTATCTATCCATCTATTTATCTATCAATATATGTTCATCTATCATTCTGTTTCTCGCGCGCACGTGCGCTCTCTCCCTCCTTCACTCACTCTCTCTCTCTCTCTCTCTCTTAATTTCTCCCCCTTTTTTTGTGCCTTTTAATCTCCTCGAAAATCTCTCTCTCTCTCTCTCTCTCTCTCTCACTTTTTCCTCGTAATTTATTTACCTTTTTTTTTTCGGTGTCTCAAGAAAACAATCATAAGCACCAACCTCAAATAAAATGCAGACCTCACAGACAAAATGTAAAAATAATGCGGGTAGCTGATTGGTTCTTTATGATCGGTGTTACATCAACCGTTTCCACATGGCTGAATGCCGGGGATTGAGGCCTTCCATCAACGTTCTAAAAATGGATGGCGCAGAGAGCGAAAGTGCCAGCCAATCTGTTGTCTACAAATAAAAAGCAACTAGACATAATAATCTTACAGTAAGAAAGCCGAGACAAGAGACAAATCCCTTATAACTGAAGGAACATGTTACACGATGAACAAAAAAAGCAGCTTCCCCCGACAATAAGCAGATTAACCATTGTATAAGATTAACCGTTATATAATATATAATATAATTGTATTTGCTTATAATCACCAACTAACAAACTGTAATATAAACGGAGGTAATGATTGATAAAAACAAAAGAAAAATTAAGGAATTTGGATAACCTAAGGAATTTAGATAAACCAAAGCCGGGGACATGAGTGAAGAAAGTCATGTCTTTTTAAATGTATGTTAAGATCTTCTTTGGAGAGAAACTGAGAATCGAAATCAGTCGATAACATAACCAAAGCATTTCCAAATTAAGTACTCAATTAAGTAATAAGATGTGAGGCCATTGTACGGTTAGCGACTCGGGAAGTAAAAAGCGTCGAGCCGAGTTCGAATACCGGCCGACCGCGATACCTTCGCATTCAAAAATACACTTTTAAGTAGGCGCTCGAGGGGGTCGTCAGTGATGTTATTTGACTTGGTTCATAAGGGAGTTACGGGTCTTTCAACATCATACTCCCCATCACTAAATCGACCCAATCAGGGAAGATCAATCCCTGATTCCCCCTCTCAACCAAACGCTAACAGCTACTCTGGCCTTTTTGAAGAATTAGACGAAAACAGACCACGTATTCCGCACATCCGATTGGATGCTTGTATCAACCAATCCGCTGCGCGAACTATCTTTTAAATGGCCCACGGTGGGGACTGGTTACTTTTCTTATTTCGGTGGATTGCAGTTTCAATGAATAACCAAGGAGGTAATCTTAATGTTCCTAAGTTTAACCCTTTTCCCTAAGTATTGTATAGTTTAAATATTTGCTGTTTGTATTTTATTTGTACTTTTTTAAGCAAAAATACCCGTGTCAAATACTTTAATTTGACCTGTGAAATAACAATCATTTTTTTAACAATTCTACAAGACCCAAGAGCCACTCGATGTAGAGGGTTAAAGAGTAAGATGAACATTTTATAGAGATATATAGGCAACTTGCATGGAGTATTGCTGCCATATATGGTCTGGAGCCCCTTCTATTTGTCTCAAGGTCCTTGATAAAATCCAGAGACGGATATGAAATGTAACTGGCCCTGATCTGGCATCTCGTCTGCAGTGGCTCTCTCACAGACGTGCTGTCACCTCCCTTTGTCTTTTTTAGAAATACTTTCACGGTAAATGCTCCGATTAGCTGCTTTCGCTGGTTCCCAGACTTCATGAATTTAAGCGTTCTACTAGGCTGGCATCTCGCTCTCACCTTTTCACTGTCGAAACTGTTAAATGTAGCTGTCTCTACTCCAATAGCTTCATGTCTTGCACCTCTGGCCTGTGGAACCTTCCCCATTTCTTGTTTCCCTGATAGCTATGATCGCCAACTATTCAAATGTAATGTCAATCAACGTCTCCAGATGCCCTGATCTATCCCCTATCCTTCTCTTCATCCTTTCCTCTATCATTCCTCTTTGCTCCAACTCTCTGTAACCCCTTGCGTGCTAGTGGCTTCCCGCCTTGCTTGGAGTGAAACGCTTAAAAAAACGATAACAGTTGAAAACTTGAGGATATTGAGATTGTAATGATCGGGGAAATATCCTCTTAGTTGCTTTTGCCACAGAGCAGCGGTTCGTGGGAAGAAGCTGTTCGAGTGGAACTTAGGTCTCACCAATGGAATACGAAGTGGGGATGACGGTAGTTCGCTGCAATGTGCGTTTCTTGACGGGTAGTTGATTAAAGCGTCGCCTTATGAATTTGGTAACATAGCAATCATGAGTTCGATCCCTGGGCCGGACAGTGTTTACTTGGACTCAGTGGAAACTGGGCGAGCAATAACCGAGCAGTACCAAATAGGAAGTAGACGAATTATCTCCCCTAGATATGGTCAGTAGAAAGAGAACAATCTACCCTCGTAGAATAAATAAATGGTTCAGTTTGAAATTCACTGAAGGTAACCCTGGAACGACAAGCACCCGATAAAGGCCGGAGAGCAGAACAGCCGATAGTCCTCATGTAAATAATGATAAGAACGCGCCCTAGAAATTCACACAGAGGTTCCGTTAACAATAATCGGAAGACATTTTAAATGTAGCAGAGTTTCATTTTTTCATTTAATCCTTAAACTTAAATGCAAAAAATACTTTCGCTAAAATTAAAATTCTTTCTCATTGACGCGTTAAAAGGTTAATTTTGACAGTTTTTTTTTTCAGATCTAAAAAGGTCAACATTTCCCGAAAAAGGTCAAACATATTCAAAATAAATCTGAAGTTATAATTTGAAATGGTTATTTTTTTCTCCTTTTTGTGTTTTTTTTCTTTTCGCTCATAATAAAATCATGTTTAATAAACGCTAAATATCGATTTTTATCCCTCAATAACTCTAAACTTCGAGAGCCTTGCACCTTTCCGTTTTGTTATCGCCCTTGACTGCGTACTGAGAACTTCACTCGACAAATATCCTCATCATCTAGGTTTTACTTTATCACCGAGAATCTCAAATCGATATCCTGCAAGAAAGTTGATCGATATTGACTATGCAGGTAACCTAACTATTAATGCAGACAACATTACCGATGTCACAGTTCTCCTACATCATCTAGATAACGCTACTAATGATGTTGGACTCTATATAAATGCCTCGAAAACTAAATTCATAAACTTCAACTAGCAAAGTCCAATACAAACTCTTTCAGGAGAATCAATAATATCAATCGAATATTTATTTACCAAGGAAGCGAAATAAACTCTCCTGAAATTCTCTGAAAATATGTAAAAAATCGCATAGCTAAAGCCTGGGCAGCCTCAAATAAAATGGATGTAATCTAGAAATGTGATCTACCAGACAACATCAAACGGAGACTGTTTCGCGCCAGTTTCGAGGTTTTAATATATGGTGACACTGCTTGGACATTAACTGAACTCCTTGAGTCTAAGCTTGATGGAACCTACACTCGGATGTTGAGAGCTATACTCAAGATCTCTTGGAGACAATATCCAACTAAATCACAGCTCTATGGACCCATCCGTGATATTTCTAAAATCTTGCGTGAACGCATAATATGCTCCGCACGACATTTGCTAGCGAACCAAACAAGAACTTACTAGTGGTGTACTGCTCTGGACACCTAGCCATGGATCAAGACGGGTTGGTCGTCCAGCAATCACATACATTGACCAACTAAGTTACGACATAGGATGCCACACTAATGACCTTCCGACCTTGATGCAGGGCCGTGAGGTTTGGTATGATAGACTTATGAATGTCCGATATATCTCGGCCGAATAAAATAAATCTAATCTCATATTTTGAACACATCTAGGTTTTACTATATCACCGAGACTTTCAAATCGATATCCTGCAAGAGAGTTGATCGATATTGATTATGCAGGTACCCTAGCTGTCACTGCAGACAACATTACCAATGCCACAGTTCTCCTACATCATCTAGAAAACGCTTCTAACGATGCTGGACACTATATAAATGCCTCTAAATCTAAATTCATAAACTTCAATTATAATACAAATAAAAACTCTCTCGAGAATATCAATAATATCTATCGAATGTTTTACTTACTGTTATAAGGTCCACTCCTATTTCATACAAGTGGACTCGCCCAGTGTGTACTTGTACTGCTGCCGGTGAATGCCCGGAGGTTAGAGCGAGATACACTGATACATGATACAGAGTGAGAGTGTAAGGTAACCGCTTTGTAGGAGTCACAGTTGCGAGCACGTAGACTCAGAAGGAAGTCATACTTCGATACTGAATTTCCCAGACTGTATATATATATATATATATATATATATATATATATATATATATATATATATTATTATTATTATTATTATTATTATTGCTACTAACCGCATTTCTGGATCTACTAACCGTATTACCAATTGCATTATTACGTCAATACATTTATTTGCTATATTTCATTCCTGTGTTTGTGTTGTGCCGGAAACCTACCACCCTTCTTGAAGATGAACTTGTCTGCGAAAAAAGACTTTAAATAGTGGCATGTCAGTTGACATGGAAGGAGACAGATAGACAGAGAAGTTCTTCGCTGAGCTAGTTATTGACTACTCAGGCGATTTCTTTACCTTTTTACCAACCTATTAAAACCCTTTTTATTGTTACGTGTTATTTGGCGTTTGTCTCTACTAACCCCAAATCAACATCATAACATATATGTCATTCATTTGAGACCGGATTTCATCTCGGAATCCACAACACTTACCAAGGAAGCGAAAGACATTCTCCGGAAATTCTCTGAAAAGCAAGTGAAAATTCGTATAACTAAAGTCTGGGTTCCTTGGATTAATTGGATGTAATCTGGAAATCTGTTCTACCAGACAACCTCAAACGGAGCTACTTTCGCGCCACTGTAGAGTCGGTTTTAATGTATGATGTATCTACATGAGCATTAAATAAAACCCTTGAGGTTAAGCTTGATGGAACCTATACTCAGATGTTCAGAGCTATACTTAACATCTCAGAAATGACATCCAATTAAGTCACAGCTCTATGACCACATCCATGATATTTCTACAATTTTGCGCGAACGTAGAATATGCTCTGCACGACATTTCTAGCGAGCCAAACAAGAACTTGCGAATGGTGTACTGCTCTGGACACATAGCCATGGAGTAAGACGGGTTGGTCGTCCAGTAATCGCCTATATTGACCA